CCCGGCCCGCAAAAAAAAAAAAAAAGTCCCATTTTCGCAAACTTAATTCAAAAAATAACTTGCAAGTAGGGCTGTAAACGAGTCGAGTCGAGCTCGAACTTAAAGTGTTTGAGCTCGAGTTCTTAACGAGCTGAGTCTAATCGAGCCGAGCCGAGCTCAACTCGTTAAGTAAACGAGCCAAAAATGGAGCTCAAGCTCAGCTCGTTAAGGCCTCGAGCTCGTGCCTTAACGAGCCGATCTCGAGCTTTAATGAGTCGAACTATAAAAAATTACATAAATTTCACTTTTCGAGAATTAATGAGTCTTATCAAGCCGAACCGAGTTCGGCACGTTAACCAAACGAGCTTTAATTGAGCTCGAGTTCGGCTCGTTAAGGCTTCGAACTCAAGTCGAACCGAGCCTTAACGAGCCGAGCTCGAGCCGAGCCGAGCCAGACTCGTTTGATTTAACAGCACAACTCTCAAGATGCAGTTGTCATTGAATTTAATAATAACTAGTACAATACTCATGCAATGGCGAATCCAGTCTAGTTTGTTGGGGTCATATACCCCAACAAATTGAAGATGCTAAAGAACAATACTGAAGATGCTAAAGAACAATTCATGCCAGAGGAGGCCTGAGATGGTGAATTGGGGGAAGGGATTAGGGCCATAGTATCGTGGGCACTCTTGGATCCGCCGTTGTACCCATGTACAACATGAGTGTTGAGTTAAGAAATATATTATGAAAGTTATTGATGTCTAATACTAAACTTAACTCTAGAGCAAAATAATACAAAAACAACATCACGAAGCATAGATTTTCGCCATGTCACATCTGAAGCATGAGAAGCTGCCACTTAGGCTCAACACGTTTTGAATTAATATATAGGGAGGGATGATAACTATTGGGTCGTTTTTTGAGGTTTAGGCTTGATTGGATACAAAATACTACAAATATATTAGCTCAAAATAAAATTATTTGTCAGTTGGGCTTTTTGCACAGGTACCGTTTTGTTGAACCTGATGGTTCAAAAGAAGGTATCCTATTGATGTGGTCTGATGATGTTGAGGTATTTCATATCTCAAGCACCCTCTTTTTCATTTCAGTGCATTATAAAGAAGAAGGAAGGTCAGAGACAATGGACAGTTTTTGTCTACCTCAGTACTTGTAAAGCAGAGAGAATGAACCAATGGAATGCTCTTTTTCAGGAGCAACAATCTTGGGGTGATGTTTGGTGCCTTACAGGGGATTGGGATGATATTTGTAGTTCTGAGGATAAAAAAGGTGGCAGAAGCAGACCTCTAAATATCTTATCGGGATTCAACAACTTTCTTGCTCAAATAGGAGGCCAAGAAATTCTACTGAAGAGTAAAATGTTCACATGGGCCAACAACAGGGAGGGGGAAGGATTTGTTGAAGAAGTTCTAGACAAATCTAATATTCACTTCTTTAAAATGGCTAGAGCATTATCCACACACTCAAGCTCTGAGCTGGTTTAGAAGTGCATCGGACCACTGTATGTTAGTGGTGGACTCAGGGAACACTAAGCCAAGATTTAAAAAGCGTTTTCAGTTTGACAAAAAAATGGTTATGTAAACCAGATGTTACTCGGGTAGTCACAGAAGCTTGGAAGACTCCCTCAAAAGGCACCCCTATGTTCTCTGTTAAGGAAAAAATCAAGAAGGCCAAGCAAGCTTTGCTCACTTGGAGCAGACATTTCAAAGACGGTGAAGGGAATAAAATTCATAAGTTGACTATGACTTTAGAAGAAATGAGGCAGGAAGGAGGTAATCGCAATTGGGTAGTGTGGGACCAGTTGCAGAAAGAACTTGAAGATGCTTAGTGTTCTGAAGAAATATTCTGGCAACAAAAGGCTCGAGTATTATGGCTTAAAAAAGGAGACCAGTTTTTCATGCTTATGTTGTCCAAAGAAGATAGATGAATTCCATTGAAAGACTTTTGTCAACAAATGATATTCTTACAGAGAATCACAAGGAAATAGAGGACATTATTACTGCCTATTTTGAGAACATCTATACTTCTCAGGGAACCAGAAATGGTCATGAATTGCTGCCATTAATTCCCACATCCATTACATATGACCACAACAACATTCTTCTTGTCCCTATGGAGGAAGATGACATCAG